GGCGGTGTTGCTCACGTGGTTATTTCGTAATCAAAACCTTCTTAGGATGCCACCGATCGGTAAGACGTGTCTGCTTCGCCGACCGATCCACGTTATACATGACCACCATCGGTGTCGGTATGTTTACATTTGTAAGAGCAGTGCTGGTTGTTGGATGTCACTTCAGGGTTAATCTTAGCCTCACATATGGATACTTAGAATGCCCTATTTCAGTTCACGGCCTGTCAAATGTTCAGGCCAAACTTCTAGGTTGGTTTCGTGGTGATCCTTATTGCTTAACGAACCGCTATAAACAGCGATCCAAGAGTGATTCCTCCCAATTCTGCCGCATTAAGATGTCGCTGCAATGCCAACTAAGCCGAAAAGCATTGCTCAGGTCCGGTACGATCTTATGGGCACTGCAAATGTCATTTTCCCACTAACCATCCTCCAGACAACGGATATTATTTGGCAAAATTCAATTCCAATGTTATCAATAAACGGCTTTCAATTTTGTCGTCCGGTCCAGCATCAGCCCATGCTTGTGAAGATAATCTACTGTCTCTAATGGTCTCTAGATGGTGGTAATTGATATACGGATACCTTTGTTCTTCGTTCACTCGTTAGATGATTTCTGTGATGAAAAGTAAGTAGCAACCACTATCTTATTTAGGGTCATCGAACTCAATATGAAGACATAATGTGTTAAACCTCCCAAAGTAGTTCGGAAAATTAAAGGACCGTCTGCTTTATCGAGGGCCTCATAAAACAAGCGAGCAAGTCTCAGGGTACTAAAATTCCAGAATATGAGACTGAACGTCGGTACTACCGATCCCGTCTATTTTACGCAACGGAAGTTTAAAAATCTGAGTATGTTTTGTAACCGGCGTTGTACGACACTCACGGCGATTGGTGAGTATTACGAGCTACGAAACAGCGTGATGACAGAATCCATTGCAACCAAAAGGACCTTGTGTTTGCGATAGCAAAGTGGCGTAGCAAAAACACAGTTCTGTGGGGGTTTGTTGAATCCAAACACTAGTTAAGTCGTTGGACTGAGAACCAACGGAGAAAGAGCATGCCACCGTCGAAACTAGATGGCACCTTATCGAAAAGCTCCAAACTGAAACGTCTCACCACCACAAAGATTGAGGGCGAGGCCGCCACAGTCCCAGTAAAGTAACTCTTCTTAACCTTTGCAAAACCCACGTAGGCTGAAATGAGAATGTTTCCGGTATTACGTAGACCTTCTTAGATATGCTCTTTTGGGCTGTATGGGAGAATAATCAAACCACATACCTAGTGAGCCTGAGGAGGTAGAGAGGATTCATGAAGTCAGCCTTTGTTCATAATGCGACACAGATATACCGTCCCGTTGAAATCAGATATTATATCTTGGCTTTCCTGTGCACGCAAAGCATTTGGTGGACCCCTTACGGTCTTAGACAGCCAGCCATTAAAATGTTTAATCTTTGGCTTCTACCGTCACATCATTTTACGGCGATAGTGATTCGAACAATTTTCGCACTCAAATAATGTGCTTTTAGCGGTAGATGTATTCATTTTTCCGCTCACCACTTCCTGTGTGTTACATCATTGCCATTACTTGTAAGTCATATTTCTCCTTGACGTTTTCCCTGTGATGGGTTTAGATAATCATTTTACTTCATATACCTGCAGACTAACGCGTGTGTTACTATTGTATTACACGTATAATATATATGCGTGTGTATTATTATATTATATAATTGGCCATGCCTGACCGATCAGCATCTGAAAGGCATTCTAAGCTAATACTAGTGAGCGGTAAGGGAAGTGATGCTGAATTACCGAGGCCCATGAGCTGATATTGATGTGACATAATATTGTTGTATTAATTATGATGTTTCGATGGTTAGGATTCCTTTTACGCAGTTGGTGTGTCAGATGTTTTGTTTTATGTTGAACTGTTTCGAGACTCGTCGAAGGTGATTTCCTTTCATCTCATGCATCAGAAAACGCCCCTTAAACCAACAGTGGGCCATTTCTGCCCCAGCCAATTGCATTCCTTCATGATAAATCAGAAATTTTAGATTGTCAAATGATACTTTTTCGGTTGGCAGTGATGTGCACTACTTTTGGACACCGGAATGATAACTGCAGCAGAATCAATTTTACTGCTGTGTACATGTAGGAATTGGCAAGAGAACACCCAATTTTCGACGTGTTATCAGCCACTGAGAAATTTAACTATCCCAATCTGCGGTTTCAGCGTATCCAAATGAAAACCAGGTTATGTCATTGTCGCGGACTGATTACCTCTGTCGGCTGGAGTATTAACAAATTGCACGTTACCTCGTACATTGTCGTCCTACTTATCATCCCCGACACCGCCGATCCACTAGCACCGGATTGGGTAAATATGAGAAGATAACGTGAGGTGTAAAGTAGGATGTTTTGTTGATAGATGGGTCGACTAAAATTTGAAAGCAGTACAGTTGGACAAAAGTTTAATAATGATTTGTTTAATACATCACCAAAATAGTATTAAATATACGCTACGTAAGTCTTTCCCCAGGATACAGATACAGGGGGGGACATTTATGTTCGACATCAGGCTCCATCTGACAATGCTAAAGTCATTTTGAAGATATTTAGATCACAGAGGGAAGGTTGAGAACACTTATTATCAGGAACCGAACCGACTGCAGGGGTATATGCATGAAAATAAAGTGCGTGACCATCAAGATGCCACCAAAGCAATAACACGTCACGAAGCAAAAGGAATTGTAACGTCAAACCCACTGAGTAGCACGTAACAAAGATACGAATCTTCGGAGTCCCCAAAACCCAAAGCGAGAACCGACCAAATCCAAAACAATCGGTTGTCCATTTGGTGCATTCAGACAAGTCTATTGCTTCTGGAGGCTGGAGTTGGAAAAGTGAAGACATTTGGCTTTCAGTCATAATTTCATCAAGATTATGAATCTTTGTTGTGGAATGGTATTAGCACGGATGAATTATACAGTCCTGGAACCATCAATGAAGTGCAGTATGTGAAGAACTCATGCACACATTCCTTCATGAACTTTTCATCATTATCTCAAGCAAAAAGTACAAACTGTTACAATGGAAGTATTAGCTTCAGGCTTTATTTTTCTCCAGGTGATACCTGTAGTGTCTAGATACAAACCTGGTTTTTTGTTAATGCGAAGACAATACTTTCACTTGTCCAACTTGTAAACTTTCTGCACACTTATTCTGTTGGGATGTTCAATTATATGAACACGCAGCACTTCTATCTTCTAGCGACAACGGGTAGGGATTCAGATCACCTTCCATGAAGATGAATGCAATTTGTGTATGAACTTATTCATATCTGAAAAAATGGTGTGTGCCTGTATATCCGGGAATAATGATAATTATTATTAATACCGCAAACTTTGGCCGGTAGCAAGCTGAAAGATACGGTCATTCACCCCTATATTCCCCAAAACACTGATATCTGCAAAAAGACGCATCCCTTCCCTATATTGTCACCAATAGCATTTATTTTTTCGTAGACACTCCTTACTTCCCTTTTTTCATTCCCAGCTCACCCTACTTTTCTCATCAACTTTTAAACGATGCCCATCACCTACTTGAGGGTGTTTGCAAAATCACGATCTCAAAAGGTCAATTGATCGTATCAGCGGCTCGGTTGCTCCCCCCGAAACCAACCTGCAAACCGCTAAAGAAAATTTTCAAGCAGGTAATCACTACCTCAAATGCTACAAGCAAGTAAACGAAACGGTTTCTCAATTTCCAAATCCACCGTATGGCTTCACCCAGAAGTCTCCGATGCGGTGGCACCCCTAACGCTAAAGACACACTCCAATCTCTTTAAAAAACTACACAGATAGGCGACAAAGTCAATCGCGGAACTGAAGGAGAATGGATACTTTGAAAGGCCGAAACACTTGAACCCATTCACCTCAGGGTATCACAGAAAGAGGGATGACCTTATTATGGCCAACAAGTCATCCATCAGGCAGATCACGCAACACGCTGAGCTTCATGAGGAGACCCCATCAGGATAAGGCATTGTAGAGCGAAGACTATGTTCACGTCTGACTTTTTCTCCCGAACAGCATATGCTTTATGTTATGCCCTACCGTGGATGTAGTCACAGCCCTCTCGGTAGACTCATTCAAAAGACGGTTAGACAGTCACGTCATTTTGAACGGATTACCATAAAAGTAGTCATGGAGTTACCAACCTCACTAGTCCACCATCACTTCCCTTCTACTCACCACTCACCAACCCTCTTGTGGATGCACCCACATTATCTACGGACTCATCTCTAGCAGCTAGGCCCATGGTATTTAAGGATTTGTTCTGGTGCGAACTTGACAGACGCAAAGACCAATCACCAGTTATTCGGACTTGTTATATACCCACGAGTAGGAGACTAAGGAAGAACACGATAGCGTAGTCGGGTGGAATAGTATATTTGGGTGGTTGTACCAAGATACCAATGCGTTCCAACTAACTGGCTAGAGAGTCGAATACGAGCAGTGCAGCGTAACACGACAGCGTGCCAAATGGCGAGGATGCTTGACCAGGTGCCTTCAGCTTAGCTAGTCTAGTTAAACTATCAAGGTCAGCATCAATGTTGAGTGTCATCGAACCCTAGGCTATTGATTTTAGGGAAGTATGTGACGCTACAGTGTCAGCTTTCGACTTTCGGGTGATTTCCGCAAGCTCTTTCCCACTCTCTTGGCATTCCTATTTGAGCAGCCAGAAAGACTGGATGCCTGACAGACCATCAAATGTTTTGGACATCCGTTAGTCCTTATCACTCTACAAATTGGAATTTTAGAGCCCATAAATCAGCCACTTCACTGGAGCTAAAATCAAGGAAGGAGAAGAGACTTCCTTGTCAACTGCGGGAGGAAGCCACACAAGCAAGAGCCCAAGGTCTACATGTTTCTTCTGCTCGCACTATTGGTATTGAACGCATATTGTTGAAACGGTCGTAGGTTTACCTTTACTCCAAGGTTGTTCTACGTGTTGTGACCTTGAGGATGAGGTACGCTCTAGTTGCTTCGGCAAGCCTACTGGTTTCTTCCATTGTTGTATCCAATACCTACTACCGAAAAAAACAGTTTTATCCTACTGTTGTGTACTTGACTAATAATCAACCATCCTTATCTGTAGGTTTATTGTTAGATACTTATGCTTTCACAGATTCTTCTTTTCCAGTGTGTGGTCATACTCTTTTTGTTCGTTAGAGCACTGACATATGCTTTCTTCGGTCGACTTCAAAGAGCAGAAGTGGATGTAAGTTTCCAATAATTCAAAAACTGTTGTTAGAACCTTGTTTCGCAGTCGTGGTATGCGTTCTTCGACATGTGCTTGGTTTTCGCATTCTTCCAGAACGAATTGGGGACTGAATTCTTGTTTCTGTTTGCTATACTCTTGTTCGTCAGAGCCTTCCACTGGCTACTTGAAGAAAGAGTTGACTACGTAAGGTTATGTGATAATTGGTACCAGCTTTTAGATGGAAAGAACACCTGCTATTAGTGCTCTGTTCCACTTCCGGATTTTATGTAGGTTTGTTTTTATTTTTAAATTTTTGTAGCCCTTATTACTCTGCTTGTGCTCATTGATGGATACTTTATAAAAACAGCCTACTGGAGACCTGCTACTCATGGGCGCAGCGTCCATTTGGCGTTAGGGATTGAGGTAAGGAGAATGTTAACTCTTTCAAATCCCATATTTCAATTTACACTCACTCACCTCTGCTAAGGATTGGTTTGGAATATGAGGTTTTACTAATTTTAACGGTCATGAAGGCCACTCAGAACGTATTTGTCATATCGACCAGTGACATGAACTTTTTCGATGTACTGGAGAATCTGGATTGGTTGTCGAGTGGAAAACCAAAACACCAACCACTTGACTGTTTTTCATCGCTTCGTGTAAATATATCATTGTCCGTGCTTAAATGAGATTATATGTTCCCCTCTATAGTCTAAACCATAGTGGTTTTTTATGGTAAAATAGCGGTCCGATTGATTTAACTGGTGCGCTCGCGTCAAGACATCTTCACAAAAGCAGCTACCATCATGTGGTAATGCGGCTTGCGTACCACAGTCGCAAGCTATGCTGGTGAGAAGCCAGATCTTTTGAAAGGTCATTTGGATGGTGGTACGACAGCTGCTACGTTGTTTTAGACTTAAACATGGCATTGATGCATGAAGTTTTTAACTGTCGGTCTGAGTCGCGTATTAAAATGTGTTTTCCTTGCTTGGCGTGTGCGTGATAAGAGAAACGTGTGTGGAGACTAGTTTGTATGACTAAGAAACGTTACGGGTGCTAATGTATCCACATAACATTTTCGTCCGAATCTTCATGGTGAACCTCTGTATTCTCCCACTCCTTGCTCTGTTTGATAATTCATGACCACTTTGGACTCCATTCTTTCTTCATCTCAGCGCTGCCTCTTGACGTACAGATGATATTCGGCATAATAAGGTTATCCAAACTGCCAGCTGGTGTATGCGAATCGGATATGATCCCCTCTGACTGGTCTCAATCACTGATTATCCCAGTGTTCAATTAAGAGGAGGCGTCCCCCTATTATAACCGCAGACGAATCAGTCTGATGTACGTGGTGTGTAAGATTCTAGGTTCCGTAACTACTAGACATCTTATTGGAGCTCGCGAAATTCAAACCCGAGAAAACCAGAGAAATTTGAAACCTAGTTGTGAGTGTGTCGACCAGATAATCATCCTGTACCAGGTTCTGAAACACAGGCTCACTTACCGACACACCACACTGACTGCATTTTTTGACTTGAAGATAACATTTGACTCTGTCGACCAACAGGTCTTATGAGAGTGTCGCTGACTGAAAAGTTGCCGGGTAAGTACGTCACTCTATTGAAGGTTCTGTACTTGAGTGCCATTGGATGTGTTCTGGTCTATGCTGAGTTATCCAGTGAGTTGCGTACATCGGATGGTATTGATCAATAATATCCGCTCTTGTTTGATTTTATTACAGAGGTGGTTACGGATGTGTCTCCCTCTCGTTGTCTGACTTGACATGGATGGATCTTTCGATGGAGACTCCTTAGTAGATGTGGAGTATGTAGATGATATAGTCCAGTTAATTGAAGAGGCTGGCAAGATGCAGAGTCTTCTGGACAGCTTGAGTGGCAGTTTGCGAATGTTGGGGATGCGTTTCTCACCACTGAAATGCAAATAGTTGCTACAGGAATGGGCCTTGGTGATGCTTTGTTTAAGAATAGGAAGTGAAGCAATTGAGTACGTTGACCATTTCCCTTACTCAGGAGTTCGGATCAGCTTTGTTCGATCAGTGACTTGCAAAATCTCGACATAGATACAGTAGGATCTCTTGGGATTCTCCATCCTACGCCATGTATAGCACTGCTGTTATATGCGATCGCTCGGTGCGACACATTGACAAAATCACCGAAGAACTTTGTTGAGAGGTGTGTCGACTCGAGTTGGCATGCTTCACAGCGGCATGCAAGGAAGAGTTGGATAGGTCTTAAAAGTAGAAGTACTAGGTAGGATATTGGAATTAGGGTTAGTTCCGTCAAACTGGTCTACTTTACTTATCCTTCTAGTTTATAAGAAGAGATAGAAGTCTCGTATCAAACAATGATAACCAGTTTGAGTGACATGGTATCTATCTAGCACTCGAGAAAACCAGGGAGATTTGAGATCTGGAGGAGAGTGCACCAGTCAGATTTTATCTTTCCTCAGGTTGTGGAATACATTGATAAATACCGGTTGACAGCACTTGCCATATTTCTTAACCTAAAGGCGGCTTCGACTGTGTTCGGTTGGCGTTGTGACAGTGCCTGACTGTGGAAGGAGTGCTGAGCAAGTATGTAACACTAATTCAAAGCTCTCTAGTCGAGCTTACGCACTTGTTTAAGGGTTTATGGAGTTGTCATCTGAAGTGACAGCAATCAGTGATGTACGGCAGGAATACTAGCTGTTACCGTTCCTGCTTAACTTCATCATACATGTATTAGTTGACATAACGACCAATATAAAATCACCTCTATTTCTACCGTCGATTGAATGTCACGCTAGGATTCCTCAGGTTGAGGATTACTGTCATGTCCAGATAAATGATTAGATATCCTCGTAAATACCCGCTTGAAGTTCATATCTTTCAGTCGAGGACATAGGCTTCACTAACACCCGCTTTCTGAGGCCAGTAAGACGCAGACAGCATGTAATCGCACTAACGCATAATCAGAGTTCAAACGGGTAATCCGGAAAGAGTGGTAATCCTTCACCGATCGTCTCCGACAATGGTTTGTGGCAGCATGATCTTTGTCCATCGTTGTTTTGATGTTAGTGGACGCCAAGTGAGATAGTATCTCTTTCTATGCCTAAAGTTCGTGATTGTCGGAACAGATATGCAAGAAAAAATCATATTTACCTGTTCTTTGCCATGATATTCCATAGGTCACCCCAATATGATTTTCCGATTGGCTCAGCTTTCGTGCTTGAGGGGTGAAATCACCTGCTATTATGCCTGTCTGAACGTTTCTCTTTCTGTAACAAAATTAACAGCTTTGATAGAACTCATCTTTCGTATCATCCTGACTACAGTTTCCGGGCACGAAGGAAGAAGTTATATGTAGCTATCGTCAAGTTTCACGATCCATCCTAGTTACCCAAGACTTTACAAGGACTTAATTATTCCGTAAGCGCATCTGGATGTCTTGATCTACTCAGACAACACCGTACAGTCAGAAGAAAACTCTAACTAATCCCAGTTTTAGAATGCGTAGTCAATTGGTTGACTGCATCGACTGCTTCACCTACCTCAAACCCGCTGATCGGCGATGAAAACTCAGCCCGGATACAGATGGTTCGTGTGGCATTTATCGATACCCATCATCTCTGGTGCTGGAAAGATATCCGACTGCCTATTAAAGACCAAGTATTTTGCGTTGCAGTTTTCTCTGTTCGGCTCTAGGACATAGCTTTTAAGAGTAGATATGAAGAGATTGCACGTTTTCTAACACAGGTGTTTTCATAACATTGCTCACGTATGGTGGAATCACTGTTAGCAATATCGAGATCAGACGAAAGGTACTAACCAATGAAAGCATACTAGTAGATGAGGTTGGGAACGTTCAGCTACTGGGTGGCTTAAGCGTGCACTGCATATGTCAGACCATCGCCCACCCCGATGTGCTGTTTTAGGAGAAGTTGGATTAGTTTAGAAGAAAGCACAGAGTGGCCATTCGAAGTCCCTGACTCTTGGTTTTATCCATGTGGGAAGGTTTAGACTGCCTGACTAAGGTTCTCAGGATGATAAAATCAGTTACTGAAGACCCTCGGTGATATGCTTGAAAATTGGTCACAATGGAGCGGGTGTATTCATTCTTTAGTGTCTTCTAAAGCTTGCATATTTTGACCAAACATTTTTAAATTCTTTTTCATCCCACACACCTTTGTCTACTTTAACATCAGTCTTTTTCTAACCGCATACATTACCCTGCTTAAACTATATGGTTTGTGTTAATACATTGTACTGCAGTTCACGCAATAGGCGTAGATGATAGCTGTGAAAAATTCTCTAATTCATGCCACAGTAGGTCACTGTGGTAATGACGCCGTCCCTGTTTTACATCAGTATGAATTGAAAGGCATAAATTTCAGTTCCTTTTATTATATTTTGCTGAAACACTGCTTCATCTTGTGATTATATTTTTAGTACTTCATTTTAATGTTGAATCTCCTTTCAACTACTATACGTTATATTTTACATTCAATTGACTCTATGAGAGAGCATTCATGGAGTAAGAAAGCTATATATCTCTTGTATGTGGATATTTTCGTTGGGTTTATTCGATTGGCTGTATATGTTGAGTTCACGTTTGTCATGTGGTCATTACACCCTTTCCCTCTGTTTGTCGCGCGACCTATCTATCTCAGTGTCAGGGCATTGAAGAAGGCTATTCGAGTAAGTCGTATATTCCTTGAAAGTTATGTAGTTTGTATGTTATTATTTATAAATGATTTTTTTCATGCGCAGCTGGGATTTAGTTTGCATAGTTTTTCTCCACTGTTTTCATTTTTCTTAACGGCCTTGAAAATATACTTTCTGCCACTAAGAACCTCTCCGAATTTCTGTTTCCTTACCCAAATCAGTCAGTCAGTATAAACTTGGGACCTGCCATTACTACATATTGGTCCGAGTACCCGTATTATTACATCAGGGTTAAATGCAGAAAGACGAACGAAGAAAAAATAAACAAGAAAATAATCGAAAGTGGTAGATAAAAAGTCATAAGACGTGAACAAGAAAAAAATGAAACAGTGGTGAGGTTTGGTATGACGGTTAAGGTAAAGATATTCCTTAGATGCATCTGCACCACTGACATCGATTCTAAGCAACATCACCTGGAGTCTCCAACCATTCATCCCCATTTGAACGTGGACTGGAATCGGACAGCCCAAACTTCAAGTAACGACCTCCAGCTACCATTCCGTTACCAGCTATCCAGCCGTATCCTCAATGGAGCATTCAGACAAGCCTCCAACACTTACAGAAGTCGAAAAAGCTGTAGGTAAACTGGAACGAGAAAAGGCATCACGGTTAGATAAGCTATACTGAAGGTAGTTAAGAATGTCGGGTGTGCGTTATCGGTCACCTTAAGTGAACTGCTAGCTGGTGTATGCGAATCGGATATGATCCCCTCTGACTGGTCTCAATCACTGATTATCCCAGTGTTCAATTAAGAGGAGGCGTCCCCCTATTATAACCGCAGACGAATCAGTCTGATGTACGTGGTGTGTAAGATTCTAGGTTCCGTAACTACTAGACATCTTATTGGAGCTCGCGAAATTCAAACCCGAGAAAACCAGAGAAATTTGAAACCTAGTTGTGAGTGTGTCGACCAGATAATCATCCTGTACCAGGTTCTGAAACACAGGCTCACTTACCGACACACCACACTGACTGCATTTTTTGACTTGAAGATAACATTTGACTCTGTCGACCAACAGGTCTTATGAGAGTGTCGCTGACTGAAAAGTTGCCGGGTAAGTACGTCACTCTATTGAAGGTTCTGTACTTGAGTGCCATTGGATGTGTTCTGGTCTATGCTGAGTTATCCAGTGAGTTGCGTACATCGGATGGTATTGATCAATAATATCCGCTCTTGTTTGATTTTATTACAGAGGTGGTTACGGATGTGTCTCCCTCTCGTTGTCTGACTTGACATGGATGGATCTTTCGATGGAGACTCCTTAGTAGATGTGGAGTATGTAGATGATATAGTCCAGTTAATTGAAGAGGCTGGCAAGATGCAGAGTCTTCTGGACAGCTTGAGTGGCAGTTTGCGAATGTTGGGGATGCGTTTCTCACCACTGAAATGCAAATAGTTGCTACAGGAATGGGCCTTGGTGATGCTTTGTTTAAGAATAGGAAGTGAAGCAATTGAGTACGTTGACCATTTCCCTTACTCAGGAGTTCGGATCAGCTTTGTTCGATCAGTGACTTGCAAAATCTCGACATAGATACAGTAGGATCTCTTGGGATTCTCCATCTTACGCCGTTTAGTGCGTTGAAATGTTATCTGGTGGTTGATTATGGACTGAGTGTATTGCATTGTACTTCTACTGTATGGTTGGAAAAAATGACCATCAAAGATTTTAGGAATTGAGTAGGCTTTGAATATTAGCTCACCGTTTCCTTCGTATTGTCGCCCTTATTTCGTTGTGCCAGCTAGCGGGTAACGTAGAAGTCGGATGTAGGTTTTGCAGGAGAGGCGAAAAGTCACTTGATTAGTCTGTGAACCTTCATCGACTCAGATGGTTGAGATATATGTTAGGCTTGCGTAGTCATGGTCTTCTTCGTCACGCAGTGTTCTCGGGTGTAGGTCCCGACTGGAAAGAATGTCAGACTTGAGCATGGCATCAATGTATGGAGTTTTTAACTGTTGGCCTGAGTCGTGTATTAAAATGTACTTTTTTTGCTTGGCGTGCGCGTGATAAGAGAAACGTGTGTTTGGAGACTAATTTGTATGACTTAGAAACGTTGTTACGGGCGCTGATGTATCCACATAGCATTTTCGTCCGAATCTTCATGGTGAATTTCTGTATTCCCTCACTCCTTGCTTTGTTTCGATAATATCGGATCTTTTTTGGGCGCTTTCTTCATCTTTAATGATGATGCCTTCTCGTCTGAAGCGCTTATGTAATTTATGCCGGGTGGAGTGTTATGCAATCATACTCTGAATATTGTCTTTCTGTGGTTAGTAATCAGGTTCTTCATGGACTGATGTCATTCTTTAGTTTGGTCGCCTCTCGTGATCTCACTATCGCCTACTTTAGGCAACACTGTTCGGCGTACGTAACACTTGTTTTGAGTTGTCGGATGTACAAAACTTCATCATCTAACTTCCTTTTCCACCTTTAATCTTACACTTGACTTATAAGAGTCATAGTATCAGAAGTCGGATCCGTGTGTCGATATCCGATAAATGAGGTTATCAGAAGTAGGACTATAAACAGTTTGTAATGAAATTGAAGAATGTAATGTAAGCTAAACTCAAACCGAGTTAATTGGAACTGGCTGGATTCTATATTGGTAGATTTTTTAACCTCAGTCAGTGGAAATCAGATACTGCACAAAATGTTGACGACGTTCAAACTGAGTGGAAAACGTCATTATAGAAACTAAAAATAATGACATTCCTAGTTCATAATAAATATAGGGAGGTTCGTAGAGGAATGTACTGCCTTTGGTTAAGTTTTTGTCATTAATTGACATCTACTGTTGGAAACTATGAAACACTTAATAATTTCATACACTTCTTCCCATTTATAAACTTCAACGAAGCAAACACAAAAAGTGTAGGAGAATAATATAAACGCACTTTTATCTCGAAGATTCTTCTCAACTGCCTGAACGACCTAAATAACAGAACACAGACTACCTGACTGGAGTACGGGAGAAGATAGGAATCACTGGTTAAGAACTCGTGGTGATATGGCTGGAAATCGGTTGCAGTAGTGCAAATGTATTCACTCTTTGACGTCGTCTAAAGGTTGAATATTCTCACTACCCTAATCTTCAAGTTGTTTGTTCTCTCACAACGTAGTCCACTTTGACATCAATGATTCTATCCACCTGTTCTTTGTATATTACTGCGAAGTATAGCAACTTGGACCGATGCACTTGCGTGCGAGGTTCTACGTTGATTTTGTCTATCTGTCATAATGTAAATGGTTTGAGTAGAGGATGTCGTTTGGAATGTGAGACGAAGATTGATTGTTATGGGCAACGCATTGGTTCCTGTCCTGGCTGATGTATTTATGGGTAACCTGAAGCAAACATAGATGAATCATGCAATCAGTTAGACAGGGTGTATGCTAGGTATGTTGATGATACACGTCATTTTCAATAACCCTAGTGACGCATCTCATTTGCTGGATCTTCTCAACATTGTTCATCCTCATGTAAAATTTAGAATGGAGTGTGAGGATAACACTAAGCTTTATTTCTTAGATCTTGGTGTTGAACGTGATGGTGGTGAAATTCAAATGTACATTCATAGAAGAGATACTTAAAGTGAACTGTACTCGAACTTCAGAAGCTTCTGTTCCAGGGAATACAGAAAAGGGTTAAAACGTTATTAAGCTGCACGAGGAAACTGCTTGGTAGAAAAGCTTGAGGAGTTATCCATTGTCGAGATTTGTTTGCGTGATTAGGGTTATCCGCAGAAGTTCGTTGATAAACACAGAAAGTCTAATAAAAAAAGAATGTAGTGGAGCACAGTACAGAAGTAGCCTGTCTTTTTATAACTTGCCTTTAGGGGTGATGAAATTGCTGCTAGGATTCAGCATCGATTGAATGCTGCGTTAAATAGAATGTACCCGGCTGACGGACTGAAATATTCATACCAGACAAATTATTAGTCGTTTCTGTCGAAAGTGGACAAGTTCTCATGTGCGCATTTATGCAGTAGAGAACAAACCCCGTTTGAGGATTAATGATACTTCTTGGTTGCCCACATCACGATAGGTAGGACAGCGTTCGAACCCGTGACCCAGCGGTTGAAAGTCAACTGCGTAAACCAATGGGTAGCTGCTTCACGACTGGTACTGGACTCAGTGTTGTTAGCCTCAAATCATTTAAAGTGACCAGTAGGCAAAAGAAACCAGATCTATTACGTTTCGTCGTAGCGATAACGATCAAGATGCTTAAACCAAATCTATTTACTCAAAAGGTTACTGTTGTCAACTTCACACTGCCCTAGTAATTTGTATACAATAAGGTGTATACAAACTTTTGCAGCATCTTTTTACGTCTTTGCGTGCTTTGTTTCCACGTCCAATCTCGCACATTTTGCTCTGTTTCAAACCTTACTATTTTATCTGAACTGTGTTTACCTAATTCTTCAAGCTGTTGTGGATTCGTAACACTTCGAAGTTACTCAGTGTGACAATTATTTCCCATCAACCTCAACCTTCTCCAAAAATATCCACCTAATAGTCTTGTAAATTGTCAGTCTTTGTCTCATATTCCTAATAATCTCTACCTTAATGTATTTACACAGCTTCTTGTCAACTTGTTAAAAATATGTTATGTGCATATTCTGATATTATTTAGGCTGTTAAGGCAGTTGAGTAGAATCCTCTAGCTAATAAATATGAGTTCATATGTTTCTGCTGCACTTGTTGGTTTTACTGTGTTCAAGGTTATGAACAGTTAATAGTTGTTTCACTTCGGCTTTTGACACTTGAGTGGTGTGCCGTTACTAACTTTTGGTTACTGTGTTTTGTCGCGTGCGTACTGTCATTCAGCCACCAGATCGTAATCAGATGGTGCACTTTCTGGGTTTATTTAAATTTGCTTTTTGGTGTAACCACCTTCAGTTGGTATCTAACCTCAAACCTGTGACCTATGAGTTTGACCAGGTGGGGTTTGGGGATAGAAACTTATCAAGGACATCGATTGAAAGCTGCACTCTGTCGCGGATTTTAGATAGTCTGGATTTTAAAATGTGAATGATCATGAGTCGAATGTAATTCAAGGAAAAGGTAACAGAAACTCGACACTTTTATGCTACCGTTAAATTATCTGCTTAAGAAGGTATACGAAAGCAAGTAAATGACTTCTCTGTTACTGGTTTACACCAAGTCAGATTGTCCTGAGGAAACGCAAATCATTAGTTGTTGAGAAACGAAATTATTGTATCATGTTTATTCTTCAGCTGCGATGTGCAGCTTCTTCTTGTGCCTGTACTCGGTTGATTTTATTCAAGTTAATTTTTATTCTCTAGGATGTGTCGTTTTGTGGTCACTTTTATTTAATAATTTTATTTGATTGCTTTGAGCATAAGATCTTAACACTTTTTTGTTTCGTATGAAGGACGTACTGATGTCACGTCGTGCTATTCGATACATGAATACAGTCTTCCGTGATGCTACTGCTGATGATTTGGCTGCGTCATCCGATACTGTTTGCATAATATGTCGTGAAGAAATGAACATTCAGGCGGATAATTCACAACGGGCTGCCACGTCTGTTTTGAAAAGATTACCCTGTTCTCACATTTTCCATGTTGCTTGTTTACGATCATGGTTCCAGCGCCAGCAGACCTGTCCTACCTGCCGTATGGATGTTATTCGAGAAGCTAGAATGCAAGAAATGCAGCAACAGCAGCCTCATCGAGCAGCGGCCACCCATGCACAGCCTGAAAACTCATCAGTCTCTTCGGGTCAAACTGGTTCAACTGTGACATCGTCTCCTGCTGGAGCTAATAATCAAAACCTGCACATGCCGTGGATGGTGAGTTTGACCAACTGACCTTTAAATTTATCGTCATGGCAAGTCAGATATTTTCCACAAATTCTTTTAGTCAGTAGACCAAAAGGTCCTGCAAAATATCTCTCTTTACTTCAAATATCACTATTGGAGTTGGAAAATTAAAACGTGTTCTATCCACAGAATTTTATGTCAAATCACCGACATTGAGCAGAGAAGTAGTATGACTGTCTTTAAGTTTGTTATGGCTCATAGACTTGGGCACCGCATTTTCAAGCAGTGGTTCCTCGGTTCGAACTACAACCCAACTACTTCGTTTTCACCACTCGGGTGTTATCGTAAATTCGCACAGGTTAACTGTTGTTCTTAACTTAGCATGTAAACGTGCACTGAGATAGTGAACTGATTATTGGACCGTTACCTGCTATCTTGAAGTTGTGGTTAAGCTTGCGTTTAAAACTACCCATCGACACGTCCTGTACGGAACAGTTGTTCCTTCACTTCTTAACATGCGACAGAGGTCGGTTAGGTAGTGGTTAAACTGAAAGCACCTGATGCTGGGGGAGGCTTAAAGGCGAAGTCACGCTGGTGGTTAGACATGTATGTGTGCATATATATACCTCAACTAACCAACGTGCCACTGTACTGCCACCTCACTCATGGGTTAGCTGACTTGAAAAGATATTATATGTATCATTTGACCGTATATATTTCGATCTTTGATGGAAATCGGAGTACTCTGCAGAAAAAGCTGCTGCATGTACAACGAAACTTTCCGATTATAATAAACCGTACTTATCAAAAGTATATTGAAGTGTAGGAGATCCAAAAACGAAGGTGGACCTGATCAAGTTGCTATGAGTAAGAATGGTTGATTTGACAGACGAGGGTCTCCGGAAGTTTGATAATTGGTCGGATGGTCACGGGTACGACAATCTTTGTCTGAATTTTCATTCTCCTCCTTAAGTGTTTTGGGATATCCATTTCCTGTAACACTGTACTGAAACATCCGTTTTTTATGCTTCAGGCAGTAAAAGTGTTTGTTAACTTTCGATCATAGAGCTCATGTCGGTAATTGCCTTTTCATGCTTTTATATGTTTTTATTGGAGAGTACTGTCATCGTTCTCATATATCCTATTCTTTCTAGCCTCCTGCAAATGGATTTCCGTTTTACCCGCCATTTATGCCTCCCACAAGTGGTTCGACAACCCAACAAGCTCAACCGGTCTTTCAACCTATATCCCCTCTGTACATGCCACCTTTTATGGGTATGCCTATAATATATCCGGGTAGGTTGTTGGTGTTCTTTGTTACGATGTCTTTGCTAAACTTCATATTACAATCTGACGATTCGACTATCACATATTAAAATACTATTTAAACAAGTTGTCGTAGTCTATGATCAAAAGCAGACCGGGTCATAAAGACATATTTCGCAGCTTTGTACTGATTGTCTCGAGCCAATTAACTTCGAACTAGGCAAGAGATATTATTTACAACAACACAAACTAAAGATTACGTCTGTTTCATTCTAAATTCGTGTATACCATTGAATTCAGTTACCTAATTTTATGTCTTAGAGAAATAGACAGAAAATATCCATATAATGCATTAATATCCATGTGATTACTGAATTGCATTTACTGTTTACTATTTGGACTCAATGTCATGTTCATCTTCGGTAATTTATGAGCATTTCATCTATCGTTAGAAAATATAAAGCTGAGTGCTCAGCGTACATTGATGAAAACAAAAGTTATATGAATGGTATTTCGTATATTCGTGCATTGTACTGTACTTCAGGTCAGAATCAGCAAAAGACCTTTAGAACAGCAATTTTTTTTGGTGTAGTCCGGTTTTTTGTTCACTTTCGACTGGTTCATAATTGTATCCTGATCGACTTATCTTGAGTATTCCAGCTATAATAGTTATTAGGATATTTTTGATGGTTTAAATAAGCGTAAGTGCTTCCACTTGAGAAAAACTTCTTTCGAAGCTATTTCCTTGTGTTTTACCTCGAGTGACTTAGAATTACTCACCCAGTATTCATTGAAAGTAGTAGCGGAATATCTATTTCAATTAAATTTAACGGAAATGCGTAAAGCGGCAAGCTAATTGTTTCAGTGTATAACTTTTTAATGGGTGGTTCGTAAGTCCAGTGACTACTACATATGAATACCAAGGTATAGAACAAATGACCATCACACACTAAGTTAAACATATTGCCTAGCATACTAACTCATATAGTTGCTGAGCTTTATTCTGCATTTGTAACGGTGGCAATGGCATAGGTTTCACATTATGGTTTTCCCAGGAGAACTATTTAAAATTGCATTATTAAACTACCTGTTTCGACAACTATTGTCTTCTGTCACCAGCTCCACAATTACAGATCCAAATCTGTATGACATATGTTTTTATGCAGCTGAATATTTGTGCTTGCTTGAATGTAGCGGATATAACTCGTAACTATGCTCGAGAGGAGTTCATATTCTTAGAAGGTTGCATTTTCGCACCGTATTTATTGGTAAGTTCCCGTTTCCATTACACTATAGGCTGCATATATTCATCAAGTTTAATTTAAGATTATTGTTGTAAGGCCCCAGTTTTGCATAAAACGTTGTAACGGATCTCATCATCATCATCATTATCAACATAGGACCAGGCATTACTGCGTAACGGTCCGAGTTGCCACACCTCATATCAGCACATCAAGTAAAAAGGTAGTGAGGTGAAGGATGAAGATAAGTGAATGCAGTCAAAAGAAATATAAAGTATGAGAAGAAAGGAAAGAGGAGTGACAAAATAGTGAGATTCGGTATAGCGTTGTTAAGATGAGGATAATGTGTGTATACATCTGCGCCACTGACTTCGGTTCTGAGCCATATCACCTAGGGTCTCCAACCACTGGTTCCTCTTGTCCCGTGGACCCCAACCACCTAGTCTGCATCGTCCTACATGGCTTAAACCAACAGTCAGAGACTTCATACATTGGTGCCATGTTTTAGTCTGGCCACCTCGGGCCTTTTTCCAGCCTGAACCCACCTCAGCCAACATTGTGTGACGAGGCAATCGGTGACTAGGCATACGTAGTACGTGTCCCAACCATCTCAGTCGATGAAGGTTCACAACCTCGTCGACTGACTTACCTCTTCTCCCTAAAACTCTACACCTAACTTCTGCATTACTCACATGGTGACACCACGGAATACGTCCTATACTACGAAGGCAACGGTGGTCAAACACCTGAAACCTTTTTGTATCTTCCACTTTCAATGGCCATGTTTCACAGCCATACAGTAGAACAGAGCGGACTGCTGTGCAGTACACGCGACCCTTAATAGACAAACGAATATCACGGCGGCGCCATAGGTGGCGCAAATTGGCAAAAGCCAATCGAGCCTTTTGTATCCGTGCAGAAATCTCATCGGCAACTAACCCACCGGGTTGATCCTACTTCCCAGGTAAGTGAAGTGGTCAACACACTCAACCACTTCACTCTCTATTGTTAACCGCGGTACCGCTGAAGACCAGTCCTGGAGCAAAAATTTGCATTTGGGTGGTGAAAATCGCATCCCAAACATTCTCAAATTCCCACTCAAAGTGTTCAGAAGACTCTGCATCTTGTCAGCGTCTTCACCTAACAGGACTATGTCATCTGCATATTCTAGATCTAAGGAAAATTCACCTGTGATCGGGTCAACGTCTTTGTAATTAGGTGACGAGAGGGAAACCTCCATAAGAATATCTATGATAAAATTAAATAAGAATGGGGATAGTGGGCATCCTTGACGGACACCACTTGATGAGTATAGCTCCCTGGACAACTCACCATAGGCTCTAACATGCCCACAAGTGTTCGAGTAGAGAGCTTTCAATAAGGTGATGTACTTACTAGGCACGCCTTTCAGTGACAGACACTGCCATAAGACTTCTCGATCAACGGAGTCAAATGCCGCCTTCAGGTCGAGAAATACAGCTATTGTCGGGCGTCTGTAAGCATGCCTATGTTCCAGGACCTGGCGCAGTGTGAATATTTGGTCGATACATCCACGGCCAGGTCTAAAGCCTGCCTGGTTTTCTCGGGCTTGCTGTTCCCGAGCTCCACTCAGGCGTCGGAGAATTATAGAACTTAGGATCTTAGACACTATGTTTGTCAGGCTGATTCCTCTGTGGTTATCACAAGAGGACTTCTCGCCTTTCTTGAAGACTGGGATGATGAGTGACTTAGACCAGTCGGAGGGGATCGTATTTGATTCCCATATACTGGCTAACACTTCCGTTAGCCTGACTAAGAGAACTCTACCACCATTCTTGTATACCTCAGCAGGTAGTCCGTCTGGTCCTGCTGCCCTTCCCCGTTTCAGGCTACCTACCGCTTTCTCAACTTCTTCTAGTGTTGGGGGACCTGTCTCTATGTCCCATTCAGGGTCCGACTGGATAGCGGGCAGCGCAATGGTGGCTGGAGGCCAGTTAAACTGTTCCTCAAAGTGTTCTGCCCATCGTCCCAGTCGCCTTCCCTGCGAGTGAATCGCCGATCCGTCCTTCTCCGCTATAACCTCACTAACTGTTGTTGACCATTTCCCCCCAGTCTCCTTAATAAGTCTAAATAACTGTCTACTGTTACCGATCGCCGCTGCCTTTTCCATCTCTTTAGCCTTTGCTGCCCACCACTGTTCACGATCGTTGCGCAGACTTTTCGTCAGTTATTTTTAAGTTGCGCTCGCTCTTCATTGTACTCAGAGCCTGCAGGGATGCATTCACGTGCATCCATTAGTTTGGAAGAAGCTGCTGATATCCACTGGCTCTTTTTAGCCATTATCTTGGAGTCGGCTACAGTCTCCAGTGCTGCTTTTACAGTAGACTGAAGATGGCACCAAGCTTCTTCTGGATGAGTGACAGTCTTTTGTTCCGATAACTGCCTAGCCAACTTCTCACTGAACACGGCTTTGGTGTTTTCGTTGTCCAGCAGAACTCGTAGTGGTTTTGTTGCCAAATTTTTTCTACGTCCATTGAGACGCAGGCATATACGTGCTCGGACCAACGCATGATCGCTGTCCAAACACGTACTCCAGAAGGAGCGGCAGTCTTCCACCGATCCTCTCCAGCGATGACTAATAGCAATGTGGTCTATCTGTGTCCATCGCTGAGTCGAGCTCGGTGGACGCCAGGTCAGACAGTGCCTTTCTTTATGTCTGAAATTTGTGCTGGCTAAAAATAGGCGGTTATCTGAGCATAGTTGTAATAGGCGATCACCGTTATCTGTACGTTCAGCTGGGATTCCGAAAGTGCCACCTAAGTGCCTTTCTGCCTCACTCAGTCTACCCACCTGTGCGTTGAGGTCACCTGCAACAACCACTACGTCCGAACGTTTGGCTTTCGAGAGGAGGTTAGACAGTTTATGGTAGAACTCGTCCTTCACTTCATCCGAACTACAGTCAGTGGGTGCGTAAGCAGAGATTACAAAGAGACAACGGCGAGTCTCACTATTCCTTTTAGTTCTCACTGTGCCGTTCAGCCTCATAGCGCAGAGGCGACTATCAACTGGGATCCAGTCTAGTAGTGAGTTTTCTGCCCTGGTGCTTAATGCTATACCTACACCTGCAAGACCACGAGAGCTAGCTATCGAATCTCCAGAAACTCGAAGGGTGAATTTTGCAGATTCACCAGATTGGTCAGGAGAGGTCAGGTGAATAACCACACTTGGGTCCTGTATGCGTGTCTCACAAACACAGCACACATCCATGCCCGAGTTGCTAGAGTCTTTGCCAACGAAGCCTGTTGGCCAATTTGACGGAGGGTGCGGACATTGAAGGCTCCAATATGTAATTTGGAGCGTGGTTTAAGGAGACCAGGGATGCTGTTCTGTGGACTCAGATCGTTGTCGAAGGCTGCAGAGGTAGGAGAAATTGAAGATGATGCAGCATCATTAATTAAGAGACGTGAAGGAAGATTAGAAGGTAATGATGGAGGAGGAGGATAGCAGTCAGAAGAAACTTGGGTGCTGACAGAGTTGTGAGGGCGGTTGACACTTCCCGGCTGCCCACACCGTGGAAGGCTATTTCTTCTTAAGGTACCTGAAAGAGATTTGTGTGACCGCAGAGCCCATCGGACATCTGCTTGAGGCCTGTCACACCCAGCCTTTTGAGTATGATTATTTTGAATTTTTGTATTTTTGGGGCCGGATGAGCGAAAGGAAACGACAAGTGAACCAACACCGCCGGCCCGGCAGACCGTGGGGCGTGGTGGAGTGTGTTATTTTTGGGGCCGACCTTTTCTAACCCCCCCTTCCACTGAGAAGGCAGCATCAGCTTGGCACTGCTGGTCATCCAAGGGAAACACCTTACTGCTGTCACACCCCATCCAGCTAGCAGCAGTACGACTTCGCCCTCAGACCCCCATCATAGTGTAGCAATTTACACTATAACGGTAACTGCTTTTCGTCTAACCACTACCCAACAGACCTTTCTGGTATGGTAGGACCTCGAGGGAACAAGCGTTCCACCAGCATAGCTCGTTGGGTCATTGTGATATGCAAGCCCGACCACCACGTCAAGGTAGCAGCTATCGGTCGGCTGTAACGGATCTGATCTGTAAAAATGGTGTGAGAATGACAGGTTAAAGATGATCATTTGTAACGGATCTGATCAGTATGACTAGTAGTTTGTTTTCTGCCCCCCAGTGTACTGTAATTCACTGATTGGTTAATCTCTACTCTTAGGATGTCAAAGTCTCAGATTACGGACGTCATATTTTATGTGTATACATATAAACGTGTTTCTGAATTAGTTGATTTAGAAGTAGTATTCATCATGGACTGACATCAGTTGGGGAACCATTGGAAATCTGGGAGCACTGGACAGCTGTTTTGTCCTAGTATGGGACTCCTCAGCAGCAATCTCAAAAATAAATTAATTGATTGTGATACTCGGAGGAATAAACTCTCTCATTCAGCTTCGGTCTTTTCTATTCGTCCAGGGTTACAAACGGTGGCTGTTACATACGAAGTTAGCTGTTAGTTAGGCGTACGTATTATATCCGTTCTATTTAGCGCCGTTATTATGTTTTAATTTTTTTAAAAGAAATAATGGTATTGAATTGTTTTGTTTTGTAGGTAATTTATTCCCTAATGGAAATACTCCTATGCCGGAACCACCATCTGGGTTGCCTGAGTCTGCTGATGAGGCCCGCCTTCGTGCAAGTGCTGAAGCGCGTTTCACTGCTCTGCGTCAAATCAATGTTCTTCTAAATGCAGCTGTCCTACAGATGAATGCTTACCTTAGTGCAGTCAGCACTCCTATAAATGAAGTAGAACAAAAGACCTCTACCAATACTCTTCCCAATACAGATGGTGTGGAAATGACAACAGAAGAGAATAAAGTTCCAGATAATGGTGTCAAGACACTGTAAGTAAGCTAGTTATCTTTACTGCAATAAGTAGTACAGTGGAACTGTTCAGGAGAAAGATCCCAACCTGACCCTTAGAAATTAAAATTAGTTAGAGAAGTACAAATTTAACGAGAGCTTAATCAAAAGAGTTTTAGACTGTAAAGTCTAGGACAGTTTAAAATCTACATTTATAAGCACCTGTAACGTGACTTTAGAGTCTATTTTTACTCTCTAGTCTATATTTACTACGAATATTTATTGGTAGAGCGTTCTCGATGAAGTCTACGAATATAGTACTTATTTATTATCGTTCAGTTCCTTCAATTACAAATTCCAATAATGTTCCACTGACTTGAACTTTCGTTGTTTATCATATCTGTTGGCTTTTAGAGCAGTTTCCAGATAAGTCAGTTGCATCAGGATAAATATTTCGCTTATTGACGAAATTTCGACTCGGAAGTGTTGTTTGTCAAATTACTTCATCTCTGACCCTGGCAACGTATCCGGCTACCTATTGAGGGTCTGGTATGCTGTCAAGCAATTCGTTTTTCCTGTTATACGACCATAAGATATATTTGTTGAAAGTAGAAAATATGAAGAGACTACCGGTTTCTGACCACAGATTTCTTTGTGGTATAGCTGGGATCCGTTGGAATCACCATGTAATCAATGCAGAGGTTGGTCAGAAGGTAGTAGGCAAGAAAGGGAAGGTGGGTCGATGAGCTTTCGCATCTTCAGACACTGAGGTGGTTTCTCGGATATGTGCCATGCATATCGAGTCCCCACCTACCTCTATGTGGAGTGGATATCTAAACTGGATTGGGTTGAAAAAATCTCAGTGTCCAGAACAAGATGTAGGACCAGTCCACGGTCTGAGTCGAATGGGAGGTGCAAACTGTCTGGTTGTTATCCTCAAGATGATAGGAATCAGTAGTTGCAGATCTCTGGTGCAATGGCTGGGAATCGGTTACGGAGGCGCAGATGTATTCACCATTTGATGTCTTATTTTTCACTAACTCACTTTCAAGTTTTTTCTCCTCTTATACACTTTCGTCTACTTTGACACCACTCTTTCTCTACCCACTTGTCCTATCTAGGCTGCTGTTGAGTGTGGCGACGTTAGCCAACGCCGTTCGGTGTGATGTTTTGTGTTGATTTTATCTCACTAAACTAAATTAACTAACTGATAAACAAACAGGTTATGCAAAGACCTACTGTATCTGTGCCAAAATCTCGCTGTTCACCGATCCAGGAAGGCTGATGCGACTTCGCGAGCAACTGAATTGGTCAATGCACTCAATTGCTTCACTTCCTATTCTTAAACAAAGCATCACCAAGGCCCATTCCTGTAGCAACTATTTGCATTTCAGTGGTGAGAAACACATCCTCCTCTTCCCTACTGTTGAATTCTAGTTGTTGTAAGGCCCAGTTTTGCATAAAACGTTGTAACGGATATGATCATCTTTAACCAGTCATTCTCACACTATTTTTACAGTATGACTAGTAGTTTGTTTTCTGCCCCCCAGTGTACTGTAATTCACTGATTGGTTAATCTCTACTCTTAGGATGTCAAAGTCTCAGATTACGGACGTCATATTTTATGTGTATACATATCCACGTGTTTTTGAACTAATTGGTTATCATACTGTGAGGAATAACCTCTCTCTCATTCAGCTTCGGTCTTTTCTATCCGTCTAGGGTTACAAACGGTGGCTGTTGCGTACGAAGTTAGCTGTCATTTAAGCATGCGTATTGTATATGTTAGGAATATATGAAAGTGATATAATTCTTCTCTTCTATAGTTCCACCAAGTAATAACTTATTGGTTTTCTTTGATTAGTTTAAACTGGTGTCAGGCGTTACGTATGACTACTGCCTTTCTTATGTTTTCAAGGTTTGCTGAGCATCACAGCTCACTGTCATTGAATAAATTGTTTCCTAACGTATTTTTGATGGAGTGTGTGGACATTTAAAGCTACTCTACGTAGTTTAGAGTGTGGTTTCAATTGACCAAGGATTCTGTTTGATAAACACTAATCGTTATCAGGTACTATAGAGCTCGAAGAAAGGAAACACCATGGAGGAAATATTAACCAAGAGATTTATAGAGAGATGCAACAGGAAAGATATGTGAGGTTGATTACCATCTTGTTTAACTTGAGTACTGATAAAGTTGCAAGAACGGTTGAAACTTTCTGGCTGCTCACACTGTGGTTAGCTGTTTGCATTCTTACATTATTTTTTTTAATTATTTTATCACTGTTAAATGAACCTCTCTTGTAGAGAAGAACTTCAAGTAACAAATATCCTTATTAGTGTAGTTCGTTGGGTCATTTTAATATGTAAGCTGAACTACAATATAGGGATAGTAGCTATCATCGGTAGGGATAATTTACAGGGTTAACGGCAACATAGTATCCTACCGGTTTCACTTATAACAAGTATGAAAATTTCCAAGGCAATAGGGTAGAATAACGGTAATTATTTTGTCATCTTTATGGATTTTGTATAACTATATCGTCCAACGTATATCACTTTCGCTTTGGCATATTTAGTATTCTTTCATTTTTTTTTTAAACATTTACCGGAAGCTTCATATATATTCATATTACTGAAAACCATTCATCAATACTTCCAACTATAAATAATGAATAGTGTTTAGAATTGAAACAGTACTGTTGTCGTTTGATTATTTGATGTGATGATCATTTTACATCTGGAACGAATTTCACGTTTTTGACAACTCGTTTATTACATGTTTTACAAATCGTATATATATATACATATATGTATATCGGTTCACATAAGTTCTTATAAATTAAAAAAAGGTGTTTTATCAAATTCGAATTTTACAAACTTTATGAAGTTGTTATTATATGATTTCTACTGATATTAAACCATCTCTGATCTCTTTGATAAATTAAAACAGCGTAACGAGAAGATGAAGATTAGCGCTTATTCATTTCAAACAATCTGATCGTACACATAGATTTATTAACTTTGTTCTCTTCTCTGCCTTTCCTATTCCTCTTTCCTTTCCTATTGACTTCATTGAACCTTTTATGTAAATTTTCATATAAATAGTTTAACAAATCCATATATGATCAGATTGTTTGAAATGAATGGCCTACTGATAGTTTAGGGTTTTTTTTTCAGTTAGTAATGTTTTAAGTGTGTAACTATTTTGTTGAAAAGTTGACTGTCTCATGAAATAATTAAAAAGAAACTAAGATCATAAATGCGACGTGAGATTTTCTAATATTTTATGAATAGGCATCTTTTCATTGTACTTTTCTTCCTAGCATTATTTTATCGATCCAAAATCTGTGTAAACGTCTCTTTTTACCCCAGTGGTGTTATGTGGTTTTGATTTCTTGATTTAATTGATGAATGTTATTGAAATGAAGTCGAAGGTTACTTGTTTAATGCTACCCAGTCTTCTTACGAGATTGTTCTTTGTCAAATAGAAACTTTATGTTCTGGAATATCATCGTTTGACTGGCGTTGATCACCTTTTTATTGTGTATAAACGTTAACCCATACAGCCCAATCAAGAGTATCGGGACCTCAAATTTGTGTGAGATTTCGCTAAGTTTTTCACAGTTAAAATCTATCTCTTATCAAAATCAAAGTCACATACGTTAGAAGTCGTGTCTGTTGTCTCATTTTTGCTTTCTATATCTTTATATTGTATTTTATTTTCATGTTACATTTAAAGGATGTCACAGTTTGCACAATCTTTTTGAGCAACTATTTTCTTGAAGTGACCACACACTGTTCATCCTAAAGAAAATATAGTAAGCATGTCTTTCAGTCTGTTTTGGAAGTATAGTGAACGTTGTTGTAGATCTATGGGTTATTGGCTTAGGTATCTAGTTTTCAGACAAGGGATCCTTGATTCCAAACTGATTCCACTCACTCTGACCTGTGCAACCAGGTAGTATCGTGAGCTCCCGCATAATGAGTGTCGCTCGCAAGTTAGTACACAAAGCTCTACTTCGTCGTTGATGAGTTACATTATCTGGCGAATGTTTGTATTGTGTTCTTTTCATTATTATTGTCTTTACAGTGGCTTACTAACTGATTCCGAAAGAAAGATGGATTGAAATTCTTTCCCTATGCAATAGAAGCCGTAGTACTACGCGTATTTTTAAAACCCTGTTTGTTGGCATTTTTTGTTACCTAACTTCATTTCTGTCAATGAAGTACGAGGAAACCTTTCAATGTCCTTTTTAAGCATACATACAAGCTTGGTGGTCGTGAAGACAACAGTGACATCGCGTGATGGTAGCGCTATGTCGTGAACTGACGGAAGTTGGAAATGTGGGCCACTGGATTCTGACCCAGTAGCTCAGTGGTAACGTGCTGGTCACGGAACCTGAAGGTCCTGGTGAGGTGCGTCCATGGTTGCGCACTGCCGAGGAGTCCCATACGAGGACGAAACAGCTGTCCAGTGCTCATAAGTTTCCACAGTTCCTCCAACTGATGTCAGTCTATGATAAATACCAACTTGAAAATATATATTAAGATTATTTTACTTTTTGACAAAGTGTTTAGTCCTAAAGCTGACAATTGTTTACCTAGGGGATAAAATTACAGGCAGTAATGAAAAGGTTAAATGTTTTGTGGTTGAAAACTCCTCTCTAATTAGAGCAGGCGTCTTATGTGTGAATCTCTACGTAGATAATAGTTTGCAACGTGTCATTCGTAAACTTTTGTTACATGTTATGACTCCATTCACCCATGTTTTGATAACAGATTTCGATTACCTACTAGCTGAAATTCCTTTCGTATTAGTAATTTGCTCGTGCTTCTGTTTCAGAGTGGAATCTTCTGATATAAAACTGAAGATGAATGGTAAGCAATCATTTAATCCTTTTTGATGTTTTAACACGACATTCGCTCCATCACAATGCCTTCTATATATTGCCTATAAGGTACCTACTTTTTTTCAAGCTAACTTCACTATATCTGAATAAAAAATGAAATAGGACTTGCACTAAACGACTTTTTATTTCATTTATTTGTCCCTTGGGTTCCTAGTGGGACATAGGGCTTCAGTAACACATCTCCATTTCACTGTCTTCTCCGCAGTCTTTTGAAGCTGGCTCCACGACTGCCCAGAAGCCTTCATTTCTTTCTCACATGATCTCCTCTATGTCACTCTTGGATGCCCAACTCGCCGTTTCCCCTTTGAGTTCAACTTGAGGGTCTGGCGCGTGATGTCCCGGAATGGTCTCAGTATATATCCAGTCCAATCCATCTCCACTTTCTTCCTTTGCATATTTGTTGGGTGATGCGTTCTTGCTTCGTTGCTAGCTAGCCAGAGTTCCTTGTTGCTTATTGTTTCTGGCCATCTGATCTGATCTTCAGAATAGGGTGAGAGTAGGTGACAGTTGTTGGTGAATATCTGTAGTTTGTTGGAAATGCTTTTCGTAACGCGCCAAGTCTCTCAACCATTACAGAAGCACTAACTTACTTGACATTAGTGTTGAAAATCCGGATCTTGTTCTTTGTGCTGAGTTGAGTGCAGTAGATCTCCACACTGATTACAGATTGATGAAAGCCTGTCTTGCTGTCTTTCCGATCCTTGCTTTGACATCCTCATCTGTGCCTGTGACACCTGTAGTTGAAATGATGCTGCCTGGTTAGGTAGGTGAAAGAGACTACTTTCTTTAGATTTCTCCCATTGATGGTGATTGGTGCTTGTTGTTGTTGTTGTTTGTTGGTTATCTTCATCACCTCTGTCTTCTGTGCGTCCACTTACAGTTGCGTCTTCTCTTCCTCTTCTGTCAACTGGTTGGTTTTTACGTGTAGATCTTGGAGATGGTGCGACAAGACATTAGACACAAATCATCATCGGTGGTGAAATGTAAATCTTCTAGGGTCTTCTCGTCGGTCCATCCAGTGTCTACCCACCTTCTGGCTCGTGAGTTTGTTGTATGATTCAGTCGATTGGAGTCGACCACAATGAGGAAGATCATGGGTGATAGTAGGTGTCAGCGTTGTCTTACTCCTTCGTGTCTTCACTTCTAAGGCATCACTGAGTTTTCCATTTTCAATCACTTAGCATATGGTATCGTCATATAGCTGTCGACTGAGGCTGTTGAAGGTTTGTGGTACTAAAACTGTAGTGTTGAATTAGCTGCCTGGCAAATTACTTCTCGGTCGACGCTATCGAAGGTGTTTTCGAAATCTATGAAGTTGAAGTTGAGGTTGAGTTGAGTTGATTGCGATTGTATGCTCTGTTGTATGATGATGCGCAGCGTAGAGTTGCAGTTTGATCCGCACATGATTTGTTCTTCCTGAAAGCATCCATCCAGCATGTTGCGGTTGTAATCCAGTTGAATGCAGAGTGTTTTTTGGTCTCTGTAGGATGATGTGGCTTAAGAATAATCTTGGTGTGGACAGCAGCATAATTCGTCTGCAGTTCTTGCAAAGACTTATGTCACCGTTGTTTGGGAGTTTGAGAAGGTAGCCCAGCCGTTCTTGCAATCAATGGGCAGGTACGTTTCGTGCCTTCCTGCCTTCCTTCCTTTCAAGCCTTCTTCAGTAGTGTGTGAGCATGTCGGCTGTTGTCTGTGCATTTGTTTTCAGTGCTTCGGTTGTAATTGTATCTGGTGCTACTGCTTTTGTTGCTTTCAGTGAGTTTATGGCGTTGAGTACTTCTGGTTTTGTTGGAGGTCTTGTATTGATTGGTAGTTGTGTGGCTGATCTGCTGGTGGTATTTCTTGTTGAGTTGTAGGTTGTGGTGGTGGTGGTGGTGGTGGTCGATTCAAGGGTTAGACCGACAAAACATGCTACTTCTACTAACATTTTTTGTTCTGAATGGGAATATTCATTTTACTGAGGTACTACGAATTTATTAGAACGAAACTCTGAGAAAAAAATTTTTCTGCTCAAAAAGATTAATCTCTTGGTTCGATCTCATATTGAGTTATGAGTGCACACTGCTGAAGAGTCTTATACTAAGCTGGAACAGCTATCCATTGCTGTCAGCCTTTCAGTGGTTATCGAACTGATGTAGATTTATAATGAGAACTCCTTCAAAGTTAATCAATTCCCTGAGAACCTTGCAATTGAAGGTTCATCTCTTAAGCAGATTTTATAGGTGAATAACATAGTGATGACATCACACTAAAAATCTTCGACTTATAACAAGCTTATACTTGTTTAAATTATCCCTTGAAAATAATGCAGTTTGAGCTGCTATGCTATTTCAAAGCAGATAAACAGAATAGAATATGAAGATTGTATCCTAGTTCGAGTTGTCATACTACATCAGTAGATCTAAAGAGAAGCCACTAAAGGAAATGACAAGGAAGAAATAAGAATAGTGTCGAAACAAGTAGAACGACGTCTAGGCATGATGAAAACATGATGGGGAGAATAAAGTTGTATGATAATACTGTTTAGTTGTATATAAGATTTGGAGTGCTTATGCTTTACATCGTGTAGATTTCTAACCATTTATTTTGATTTTCTCATGGATACCAACCAGAAAATCTATGTTTCTCTCCTGCAATTAACAGTCAAGAACTTCGTGGATTTATGATTTGTCTTGATCTGGCCACTCTAAGCTTTCTACTAACTTCATTGTACTCCAGTCGTTATATTGTACCTAAATTTATTTTTCTCTGCGGTAGCTCTCATATATGGCCATCTGTCGGTTTCTTTTCGAGATGAAATCTTCACTTTCTTCATTACCTTTCGACTCTTAAGTATTGTCGCTCATATGTGATGTTCAAATCGAAACCGAAATGCACTTACACGTTTGTGCGGTAGGCAGTGAGCCACACCTATTGTATGACAGCTAATGATACTACTTAGCTGTCTACACTTCGGTAGGTGGGGTGGGGTTTGAAAATCAACTTCTTAAAGCAGTGAACTGCAACTCAACAGTTCGATGTCACAAGATGCGTTTTTAGGATACCTCTATATCGGCAAATTGTAAAATTATGCACCAGGATTGACAGGTATTTTAGCGTTTAGGTGATTCATTACATTAACCATCTCATGTATAATATAGCGAGTTTTATGAGCACCGATAAGACATTTGACAACGCTAATTAATTATAGCAGTTTAGCGCTTCCTATGACACAACTGTACTATTTAGCAACTGAAAGTATCAGTTAGTAGAAAGAAGTCTTCGATTATGAGTGTTTTCGAAACATTACTCGAGTTTTCTGGGGCCACTTGGTAGTGACGTATGCTGAAGTTATTCATGAAGGTGTAGATACTAGTCGAGGGATTTGTGAACCAGTTGGTACCTCTTCTATTTTGCAGTTGATTTCCTATCCTCTAATTTTCTGTTAGTTATTAAGTAAAATTTTTAAATCCCTATCATTTTGTCGCTTCATACCTTTGTTGAAAACACTCTGTAGCTATACCGTTGCCTAATCTTTTTTAGTTTTAACATACATCGGTTTCTTTTCCACTTTTTGAGCCTTATTACCTCCCATAATTTTCACTTCATGCACTTCGGATATTAGTTCATTATCACACTCATCGGATCAGTCCTTTTATTTATCCAGTTGAGGTACTCACTAGTAATTTGTTATGGATTCGCTTCATTGACCGTAAACTTTAGTGGTATGATGAACACTATTATAGAACCGTTTCTCTTAGTAATCTCGGTTTTTGGATTTACGCATAAATTCAGAATCGTTAGTTGTGTTGACTGAGGTTGGTGAGACGTGTATTCTGAATACTGTGATACACAGACTCTGTTGACTGATATGGGATGTTGTCTGGATTAGGCTTTTAATGATCAGTCTAAGCAGTGAAACTGACAATTAGCTTGAACTGTGTAACTAAGTGTAGTCTAGTGGATTCTAGTTATCGAAACAGTCGAAACTTATGGTTGAAGATATTAGGTGATGTGACTTCTAATTGCTTGCTTCCACTTTTCGATTTCTTCAAAAAACCCTTTTTGATAACTTCTTCAGATCCTACAGTTGTATGTGCATATCGTGTAGTTTTACATCAAAAATGGTGAGATTTTTTTTAACGGTTTGTCAATAATATTATGTAATTTGTGGAATTCTCAGACTTTAAGTCCTTTGTTGTTTTGTGCCTGTTTATATCTTATTCATTACTACACCGCTTTTTTATGCTTATTCTGTTACTGTTGATTTTTGCGTTCCACCTGTCTAAACTTTTCGAAATTTCAATGATTTGGACGAAAGTCATATTGTGTGGTATTTTTTAAAAGTCGATTCTTGTTTCTTTGACCATATTTTGAATTGTTGTTTTCTTCATTTTCTTGGATTTGTCTAAGATAAGTAGTTCTATTCTAAACACTATTCAATAAAATAATACTATATTGCTGTACATTACACCCAATAGATGATGTAATATGGAATTTTGCTGTACTAAAGTACCCCAGTTTGACTCTTACAATAGCATTGTTTTCTCTAAAATAACAAGATTATATTTATATTCTATCTTGGTACGGTTGAATTTTGCAAACTATGTATGATACCCCCTTCATCCATGCGAAATTCCCATGCTCTGAATTTCGGTTGCACTTTGATGTTACTGAGGCATCAAACAGAGTGTATAGAGCAGGAGTTTACAAGTACATCATGAATGCCATACATTGCTTAGGTTCTTAGCTTCACAATCGTTCCATTTCTAGATTTGAGTGTAGTTAGATTCTATATCTATGACTGAAATGTGCATGTGATAACTGTATTGAATACAGACAACCAACTAGATAGACCGAATGGTGTGAACTGGAGTTGTGCAAATCAATAGAATTTGATGTTACCTATATGTTTGTCAGTTGATGAATTTAGTTGAATGGGATAAAATCAACGTAAAACATCTCGCCGGCTCACGTTGCCACACTCAACAGTTGACTGCAAAGGGCAAATGAATAGAGGTAGTAAACGAAAGTATGCATGGAGAAAAAAATTGGTAATGAAATTTAGTGAAAAAGAAAACATCAAGTGGTTAATACATCTGTGCCCCTGTGACTGATTTCCAAGCATTTCATCAGAGATCTGCAACTTTTGATTCTTATCATCTCGACTACCCCAGCTAAAAAGTTTGCACCTCTTGCGCAGCTCAGACCAGCAGTCAAATACTTCATGGACTAGTGCTACATGTAGTCATGCAGTCACTTATGATCGAAAACCCATAGTTTCTTGACCTCTCAACAGCTATGTCTGATAGCCATATAACAGAATAGAATAAACTGCAACGCGGTATTTAGTTGGATATCTCGCCAGCACCAGAAATGAAGTAATTTGGCAAACACCGACTGCGCTTTCGGTATCTGAGCTGAGATTCTGTCAGCAACCAATCCATTCGAACTGCTGCAACTCCGCGTAAGTAAATTGGTCAGCACATTCTACTATTTCACACATTATCCTTAATCTGGGAGTGGTTGAATATTAATCTAGGAGCTTGAGACGCATGAGAACCCACTCAGATTTTTGCTAGAGCTGTTCAGAAGACCGTGGATTTTTTGACGTTTTGTTTAAGTGTACAATGTCGTCTGTGTGCGTCAAGACGACCAGATTGGCTTAGGCGGTTTCTGAATCCTTATGAAAGCAGATGTCCATTATTACATTTTCAGTGAAGTTAAACAGGAACGGTAACTGGGCGAATACCTGGCGAATACCACTTGTTGTCGTCAATTTACATGACAACTTTCCATAAGCGTGCATGGGTTCGGGTAGAGAGCGTTAGTTAGTGCTATGTACCTGCTCGGGACTGCCCCACAGTCAGACATTGCCACAACACTTCATGGTTGGCAGAGTCGAATATCCCTTTCATGTCTAGAAACACGGCGCGTCGGCTACAGATAAGTTTGTGTCTGTTCCATAATCTGTCTTAGAGTGAAAATCTGGTCGATGCTCCCTCATCAAGGCATGTGACCTACCTGGTTTTCTCGACTTTGATGTTCTGTTCTGTTAAGCTTCAGATAACTGTGGACCCAAGGATCTTGGTGTTAGTTTAACTGGTTTCCTTAAGGTTATCACAGGAAGACTTCTCTTTTTTCATAGAGTGGAATGATCAATGACGTAGACTAGTCTGATGGGACTACCGCTGATTCTTACATACTACCAAGTACCTCCGTTACTCTGCTAAGTAATATTCTACCTTCATCCTTAAACCTTACTGATGGTGAAGCATCAAGTCCTGCTATTTCGCATTGTTTCAGGTTTGAAACAGCCTTCTTATCCCCGAAGCTCGTTGTAGAACCGCCACTTACATCCTATTTGAATTCGAGCTGGATGTCGGGGAAGTGAAACATAGCTGTGAGCCAGTTGAAATATGTCTCAGTGTTCTACTCAATGTTGTAGCCGCCTCACTTAAGAGTCTATCAGGATCCCATCATTTTCAGCGATGGTCTCCCTGACCATTGTCTTCTTGTCAGTACCTTTCATATGTCTAAATAATTGCCGAGTATTTCGCAATGTTAATGCCGTTCCCATCTCTTATGCTTTCAACATCCACAGCTGCTCTTGATCATTGCGAAGACTCTTAGTCAGTTAACGTTTGACCAGCTTTCGCTCCTTATTGTGGTCAAAACCAACTGGAATGACTCTTTTCGCACCAATCAGTTCAATTGACATTGGAGAAATCCACTACCTTTTGCTGACTCTCGTATTTAGGTTTCTGACTGTCTTCAGTACTGTTTCTACGTTGGACTGGACATCAAACCAGGTTTCCTCAGGTTGATGATTACTGTCCCACTCAGATAAATGTTTAAGTATCTTTTCCCTAAACACTCATAACGTTCACATCTCCCAATCAAGCATATATAGGCTTCACTACCATTTGTTTTCTGCAACCAGTAAGACTCACCAACGCTTGATCGGCGACCAAGCACGTACTCCAAAAAGAGTGGCAGTCCTTCACTGGTGCCTTATAGCAGTGTGATCTATTGATTTCCATCTCTGGTTAGGTGTCTAGTTGACACCATGTTGGACAGTGTATTTCCCTATGCTTGAAGTTAGTACTGGTCAGGAAAAGGTGACTGTTAGAACAAAATTTGAGGAGAAAATCACTGCGTTGGCCATAGTATTTCGTAGATGGCTACAGGATGCCTTTAAGTTGACTCAGTTTTTTTTCTAATTCAGTGTTGAAGTCGCCTGGTGTTATGACTGCATCTGAGCGTTTTGCTTTCTGTAGCAAAATTGACAGCTTTATCATGGGAACTGTTGTCGAAGGTTTTTAAAAAAGATGAATTCAGCAATTTTTCGTCCAAAGAAATCAACATTTTGTTGATTATATGTTCAATAAAATATTGTTCATCTTATTATATATTTTTTCTATGTATTTTACTTTCATTTGAATTAGAAAACCCAGAAGTTGCCAAAATTCGTAAACATCGATTAGAACATTTTTGTGGCAAATCTACTGATGATCAATTACAGTCTAACTCTAAGGATAATGAAGAATCCAATTGAATAACCTGAAACTTCTATGCGTTTAACTTTAATACTGTTCACTTCACTTTATTTTATTTGTATAACTTGAATTCTAAGGGGTTACATACTCTTTTAGAATTCTTAAATAAATCGAGTTTGCTCTTTGTTCATTTTAGATGTCAAGTTGTAAAAAGTGTTTCATATCGCATTGTACTCTTTTTGACTATCAACTTGAGCTGTAGTTTCACTTAGTGTGATTGTCAGAGTACTTCTTCCGTTGTTTCTAAGGGTTATGAATACACTTTATTAAGGACAGTTTACTATATGATAATATTCCTACTTTGGGTTATTTGTTTTGTTTAGCCTTTAGGAGTACTCAGAATCCCTTGTGGTGTTGTGTTAGATAAAAGAACAGTAGAGGTACATTTATTGCAGCGCTCTAATAACTCGACACAACGGGTCATGTCTAACCACTTGTGATACTAGTTGAGCAGTCGTTCATCGTTTCTAACGCTAGTTTCAACCTGTTGTCAACTTTCTGACCTTGACAACAGTGAATCTGCTGTTATTGTCTAGCAGTTGTAAAGTATGCTGTAATTCACATCAACATTAAATGGAGCAGTAGCATTTTCCTTTAGGATTGATTGGTTGTTTTTCATAGCCGAATGCACTAATTCGTATATAGCTGTTGAAAGTTAGATTCATGTTTCCTCCATTTGACTACTGTTTTTTTGGAAGCATCTTTGATTAACTAAGTGGAGGTTGTCATTGAATTCCTTATCGCATCTTGGTTTTTTTAAATGGTAATTTAACTGATAATTAGTCGTTCGCTATCAATTTATCGGAAGGATACTTAACAGAGTAATGAATTCATTGTCATAATGACATGAGAACAATTAGGTTTTCTGTGAAAATTTCTCAAACTTTAGATGGCAAGGGTAGAAGCACATTACTATACCATTGTTTTTCTTTCCTCTAAGTAATTTACAGTACCATACTAAATCAACCACTATGTGACATATCATACTGAATTTATAGCTGGTTGACTGAATATGATTACATAACCCAACGAAGATATCCCTTTTGGGACATTTCTACTTTTCAGCTGATGAATGCAGGTCAGCCTTTCTTAATAAAAATTTACTCACGGCCAACTTCTATATTATCTTTTTCTGACTATTCGTTATTTGAAGGTCATGTGGTAACTGTTCCACCTTGTTCATACTATCGCATATTAATGACCGTCTTAATTTATTAATTGGGAGTCTACACATTGTTGGAAACGCAGACAGTATACTTGTAGTTCCGTCTTTTGATTTTATACATCTTTACTCATCATTAGTCGCTGGTCAGCCAGAATGGTCCAGTTGTAACAACGTCATGATATCAGATAACCGATTTGATCACCAGTCTGGTGTTCTGCTAAATCTTGACACGGTAAAATTCCAGCATAATCTAGTTAGTTTTATAGCAACACTAAATATTGAAACAAAACTATCTACAAATGAATCTTAAATAAAGCTGTTCATGAAATTTTCGGAATTATCAAGGGATTTTGAAATGCACAAATTCATATCGGATAAAAATTGATATCCTTACGATAAAGTTAATTAACTTTGGTGATGACTTTTCTCAAGGACAAAATTCCTGATTCTCTATGGTACAAGGAAATTGAAAATCGGACAATCGATAATTCGGGATAAAACCATGAACAAAGTAAACAGAAACTTCGTAAAGTATAATCTATGCATAGTTACCAAAGATTACCATCCAAGTAGGAAGTAAAGTTTTACGAATCACTTCCTAACCGACTGGTTTTGAAACATAGCCATTAATAGTAGAGAATATGAGAAGGCTTAAGCTTCTGGACCACTGCTGCGTTCGTAGTATGTATGCAATCATTTTGATTATCTGAGATAGCCGTGGTTTGGCAGACTAGTATTAATACTGGGTGATGATTGGAGGTGGAATGAAAATTTGGACAGCAGCCGGAAACCCGGTGGTCGTTGGTTCGAATCCGGCAGTGGTCCAAATTTCCATTTCATCTCCAATCATCAACCTATATATATACATATAATCGCCCATATTACTGATAAACCAAGCGGTTACTTACATAAAACAGTGGTACGTGTATAAAACAGTTAATAGTCAAGCAAAAAATTATATCATTAGTATTATTTTTCCCTCGGGTTCCTAGTGGAACATAGAGCTTCAGTAGCACGTCTCCGTTCCACTCTATTCTCTGCAGTCTTTTGAACCTGGTGCCACGACTGCCCACAACTTTCATTTCTTCCTGACATGGTCTCTATGTTACCCTCAGCTGGGACGCCCAACTCGAGGGCCTGACGGTGATCTCCTTAATCGGCCTTCTCAGTATATTTCCACAGTGATTACAAATTAATGAAAGCCTGTCTTGCTATCTTTCCGATCCTTGCTTTGACATCCTCATCTGTGCCTGTGACACCTGTAGTTGAAATGATGCTGCCTGGTTAGGTAGGTGAAAGAGACTACTTTCTTTAGATTTCTCCCATTGATGGTGATTGGTGCTTGTTGTTGTTGTTGTTTGTTGGTTATCCTCATCACCTCTGTCTTCTGTGCGTTCACTTACAGTCGCGTCTTCTCTTCCTCTTCTGTCAACTTGTTGGTTTTTACGTGTAGATCTTGGAGATGGTGCGACAAGACATTAGACACAAATCATCATCGGTGGTGAAATGTAAATCTTCTAGGGTCTTCTCGTCGGTCCATCCAGTGTCTACCCACCTTCTGGCTCGTGAGTTTGTTGTATGATTCAGTCGATTGGAGTCGACCACAATGAGGAAGATCATGGGTGATAGTAGGTGTCAGCGTTGTCTTACTCCTTCCTGTCTTCACTGTATTACTGTATCACTGAGCTTTCCATTGTATCGTGAATCACTTGGCATGTAGTATCCTCATATATCACAAAGCTGCTGTTGGATGATGTTGATCAACGTTTGTGGTACTAGAACTGTAGTATTGAGTTAGCGGCGTGCCAAGTTACTTCTCGGTCGACGCTATCGAAGGTGTTTTCGAAATCTATGAAGTTGAGGTTGAGTTGATTGCGATTGTATGCTCTGTTGTATGATGATGCGTAGTGTAGAGTTGCAATTTGATCCGCACATGATTTGTTCTTCCTGAAAGCATCCATCCAGCATGTTGCGGTTGTAATCCAGTTGAATGCAGAGTGTTTTTTGGTCTCTGTAGGATGATGTGGCTTAAGAATAATCTTGGTGTGGACAGCAGCATAATTCGTCTGCAGTTCTTGCAAAGACTTATGTCACCGTTGTTTGGGAGTTTGAGAAGGTAGCCCAGCCGTTCTTGCAATCAATGGGCAGGTACGTTTCGTGCCTTCCTGCCTTCCTTCCTTTCAAGCCTTCTTCAGTAGTGGTGTGAGCATGTCGGCTGTTGTCTGTGCATTTGTTTTCAGTGCTTCGGTTGTAATTGTATCTGGTGCTACTGCTTTTGTTGCTTTCAGTGAGTTTATGGCGTTGAGTACTTCTGGTTTTGTTGGAGGTCTTGTATTGATTGGTAGTTGTGTGGCTGATCTGCTGGTGGTATTTCTTGTTGAGTTGTAGGTTGTGGTGGTGGTGGTGGTGGTGGTCGATTCGCGAGTTTTCTGAAGTGTTTTGTTCATCGTTTCCTTTGTTTCTTCTCTTTGGTGTTAACTAAGCCACCTTCACCATCTTATATTGGTTTCATCTGTGTTGATCTCTCCCTTTCCAGATAGTAACCTGGCTATTTGATATAGTGTTGTCAGATCTCTGTCTCTCCTACCTGCAGCCTGTTCTGCTACACTTGCAAGTGTGTGGTAGAAGTGTCTTCTGTTTTTTCGTGCCCTTCTCTTCACTTCTTTGTCCAGTGTATTGTTTTATAGGTTGTGTTTAGTTTCTCTTCTCGTTGTTCATCCCTGCCACGCAGTGGTTTATCTTCTGATTCACCATCCCCCTCTCTTCTGTCAGCTTCCATGTGTCCATCGAGATCGATTACTCGTCTTGTTTCTTCTTCCTTCCTAGCATGGTTATGCAGGTTTCTTTCCACATCTCTTTCAAAGAATCCCAGTGCTCATCCACACATGTTTCTTCAGAGATGTTCCTCGATATCTCCCATTTTGTCTTGATGGCTGATGTGAAGGTGTCCATTGTAGATTCGTCCTTCAGTTTCTGGGTGGGTATTGAACTTCAACTGTGGTCTATCACCAACTTCTGTGAATGCTTTCAACTTGATTTTGAAATTAGGTTCCTTGCACTAGATAGTGAGTGGTGTGAGCCTACTTCCATCTGCTCCTCTTCTTGATCTTGTGTCCAGAAGGCTGGCTTCGTCTCCATTTTCTTCCCATTGAGTTGAAGTCGATCTAATTTTTAGTGTAGTATGTCCATCTGGTGAAATCAAATCGATATCGCTTTGTGAATATCCTTGTGTTTTTACACACTGCCTCCAATCAGCATGTTATTGAATGTGCAGAATTCTGTAAACAGTTCTCCATCCCCATTCATCATTACACCGAGTGCCTCTCCACCCTTGATGGATGAGTTCTCTTGCTATGTTGTCCGCTCCCATTTTGGCATTCATATCACCCCACCCATTAGAATATTGATGTCGCCATCTGGGGTTGGGTCTTTTCCACTACTAATTGCAGTTTCTATAGAATTCCTCCTTCTCTTGATCTGCATTATTTGTAGGTGTGAAGCACGATAAAACCTGTACACATGAAAAAACTTTGTAATTATAAGAACATCCATTCTTTTATACAAATTAATGTTGAAAGGCAATTCAGTGAAGAGAACTTTTATGTCAGCGAATCATCTTCAGAAGCTGTATAATCGTAACTATGGTTACAACAAAAATATCTGTTCATCAATAGCTTATAAGTCGATACAAGGTCACCAAATATTGTTAATAGAATTTGCAAGGTAGTTATGGCCAGAAGGTCATCAAAATTTGTTGATAGGATTACAATAAAATAAACATAATAAATAAAATGTTGTAGGGTGATTGTGACCAAGGTAAGATTAGAGATTGAACTTATCTTTTTTTGAATTCAGGGACCAGATGTGAACCGATGAATTAGCAAGACTTCTATTGTTTTCAGGTGGCGAATCCTCCCCTATCTAGAAACGTTTGATTTGGCTCAATAAATGACTTTTACGGAAGATTCC